CATTCGGCGGGCGTGCTTTGAACAGGCGGTGGAGGTTCGGCCATGAAGCGTGCGCGACGGAGCTAAGGAAAGTTGAGCGCCCTGTGAGATGCTATTAATATATACAAAGCTAGGAATTGTGGAACATCTATTGTTATGAAAATATTCTTGCTTTATTTCCGGTACTGATAATACAGTATTGTAGGAGCTGCTCGTAAAGTGTCTCCTCATTGGTCGCAGAAAACAATGACACATCATTGTTTATCATTATTTCCCATTGTTTCACGGTTAGGGTATCGAACCAATTGGCTTTTAGGGTTAGGAGAGCTGCACTTATGAGAGCTGCTACATCCAACGCATAGTTGGAGGTAACCGCCACTGTCTTGCGTTCAGCTAAGTCAAACTTTCTATTTCAACGCTAGATGTTTGTTTAACGTTGTGCTTCTTGCAGCTGGCGCGAGAGAAACGTCTCCTCATTAACTTTACCTGCGGACCAGGAAGAACGAAGGGCTACCTGGTGCGGAAATTCGACATTTATCAGGTGCCCAACGAAATGCAATTTGACTCTAGCTGGAGGAATGTCAAATTTGTGATCTGGTTGCGAGCAGCATGATGCACAAAGCGTAAACGCTGGCTTAAAGTCATGCAATTAAAATCAAGCATAGCTACCAGCAAAATAGGAGATTGGCTATCAAAGCCGGCAAAAATAAAAATAACGTCATTCCTTGAGCTTTGCGGTAATCGGTACCAGAACTAGCCAGAAACGAGGCTTGTGTTCTGTATACAGCTGTCCACACGATCTTTGATCTCTTCTCAGTGTTTAGAGCGTTTTCAAGTAAGTGACCAGCAGCTATGCAAATTTTTTGCGACATAAGAAAGCGTTTACAGAATAGAGTTTAATTCCCACAGGACTGGTTAGGGACACAAACATGGCGGAAGTGACGTCATGTGAATCCCTGGAGGGGGAAGCGGGAGACGTTATGGGGGTAGGCTTTATGTAAATGCTTTACTTGATTGGATTAATAGAATCATCGTCAATAAAGTGCAATGGTTATGAAGCCCGTCAAACATCTTTGGACTGGACTGTACTTAACGTTTAATAGCATCACTAGAGAGCTCTAGATTCATTCTAAAACGAGAAAGACTACGACTACGCGATTTTCTTAATAGTAAGTAGTGCTGGCGCATGAGGCAGCGTCCTTTTGGTGGAAAAACGTGATAGCCGTTGTCACTCTACTACGAGTTTTAGCGAGAGTGTCGTAGTAGCGAAAACAAGTTATAAAATCTTAGAAGTTTTAGCATTTTTCAATCGGGAGAGGTCTCAACCTCCTTCAAGAATGATAGCAGTGCTAACTTCTCTGGCACAAAAAAGTGCAATGAAGCTTTCCGGGATTTCTTTTGTTTGACAAAACGTAAAAAACTTTAATTCAAATCTCGTACTCGCAGTCGTATTCGTCCTCGAATAAGGTCTCTACTATCATTTAGAACTCAATGACCAATTCACACGCAACTTTTCAATGTTTTCGCTCTGTTCACACGGAACTTTGAACGGCTAGGCGTCTAAATTTCAAACTGTTAAGGTGGTTCCGTGTGAACGCAACACCTACACTCACAAATACTCAACCGGTCGAAATTCGTCCGGTGCCGTGTGGAAATCATGTGAGTCAAGTCATTTTGATATGTATGTCTCCAAGGAACCCACATATCATATAGCGATTTTCGTATGACCTTGAAAAATGGTTTAGGTAAGTGTTCGTTATTTGTTTTATCAGCCAATGGAACAAAACATGGCCTCTTCGTTTTCCCGCCAAAGAAAACCCTAATATGGAGAAGACATTGTTCGATTGACCAAGCTGTTGCAGTATGACGTCAAAGCGAAGTATCGATTGATTCTAGCAGTTCTCGGGCATGAAGTTTTTTCACCCGAGGGCGTTCGCTTAATCAACCAAAAGCCACGCGCGTTTGTATCCGCTCGATAAACCAATCAAATGGCTCTATTTCCGGTCGTTTGTTGTTTCTGTTTTGTTCGCGCTTTTTCACTTTTCAAGGTCATACTTAAATCGCTCTAACACCTGAATTCGAAACTGGAAAAGACAGCTAACTCCAGAAACGCCGGCAAAAATCAAAATTCGATGTTTAATCATATCTCTACCCATCTTATATCTTAATGCTATGTTTTTACTTTGATTATAAATATTTTAGAAGGAAAACCAGCGGTATTCAGTCTAAAAGTTGACAACACGCCTGACGGCTATCATAATACTCATCGCAAAGAAATTTTCCGGGGTATCGCTGATTTTTACCCTAAAATCTATTACAAAAACCATTTTGCCTATTTATTCTTTAAGAATATGGCTAAAGAAAACGATAACTTATAGTCTGATAAAAAAAAAAAAACGCGCATAAAACATTATTTGAAGTTGACTATTTCTTAAAACCGTAGAAACAGAGCAGTGTGTTATTCACGGTACGAAAAACCGCGCCAAAATATTCGTATCATAAACGCAGCTTTATATTCAGGGAAGACAACGACAGTTCATTTTCAGTATGAAAAAAGATATAGTTTCAATAACGTATTATTTGTATTCTCTACGATAAAGGTGATCTTAGCTGCTTCAATTTCACTTCCAGTGTTGCACGTCTTTCCATTACCTGCAAAAAAGACCAAAACAATGAGAAATTAAATCGCCTAAGGGCCCATTCCCAGTGATAATTTTTTATTAGGAAGTTTAAGATACCAAGCTTCAAAAGTGGATTCGCATTCTTTCAATCTCTACCGCGATTATTCCAACTGACTTACTTTGTCAAATACAAGCGAACTCTTTTGGAATTGAAGAACCATATCCAAGTTCAGAAAGAGAAGAAAAAAAAATTCGCCATCTCTCGCTTACGTCCTCACTTCCATAGCTCCATCCACACGTATCCGGATATTTTGACTCCGCAACTTTTTCTCTGTGGATTCGGCTTCCGTTCACACGTTGCCGGCGAATCCGCGATACGAATCCGAACCTTCTTGAATCCGGTTTCCAGAGTGGAAATGTTTGAATACGCTACGAATCCGCAAGATCGAGCCCTGGCCCCAGTTGTTCAAAAGTTGGATTACGCTATCCACCGGATAATACATCACTATCCACTGGATAACTCTAATGGTTTCCCTAAAACTTATCCGTTGGATAGTGATTTATCCAGTGGATGGCGCTATCCAATTTTTAAACAACTGAGGCCAGCTCTTTACCGTGAATATTCAAGATAGTGCCGAGGACTATTTCCCTTTCGTAAACGATCGTTGCCATTTTTAACGGTGGATGCCACCATTGGTAACCAAGCCTTTAGTCATGATCACTGTAATATATTCCCTGGATTAAGTTACAATAAGGCAAATAATACGTTTCTGAACAGTCATAGAAAGAACGAAAATGAACGGCCCAAGTTGAATTTACGTTTAAAATTATGGAAAGGGCTAGGGTCACCTGTTATTGATGTAACAGTTAAGAAAGACAGTTTGCTTGTGTACCGTAAATCCTCTATTAAGCCCCCTCTCTAATAAGCCCCCCTTTTCAGAGGAGGAATTTAATAAGCTCCCCTCTCTACATGAGGCCGAAAGCACATTTTTCAAGAATAAGAATTTTGTTTTTGCTACTTTTAGGCTCCCACAAGTGAATTAAATACTTTTGACAGTGACTTTAAATGTACAACGCGTAAGTCTACTCTGTCTCATGCCACGGTATTTTTGCTACAGGTGACGCGTTTCGCTGAATTAAATAAGCCCCCCCCCTCCCCCTCCTCAAAAGTGCTTGAAAAAAATAAGCCCCCCGGGGGTCTTAATAGAGGATTTACGGTATGTACTTGGTAAGGGAGAGAGATTAGGATACGAAGGTCCAGGTTCTACCCTGGGTTGCTATTTTCTTTCTTTTTAATAGAAACGCTTTCCGTCAATAACAGGGAAAAAATTTTCTAAGTGTCTTAGAGATAGCAGCGACCTTTTACGAAAGGGACAACTGCGGTGCCAAGCGCAATGTTACTTGGACTTCAGTTTCAAGTCTTATAACCTGTGTACAGTTAAACCTAAGATTACTGTACACTTCAATTATGCAGTCAAACGGTGGCTCGACATTCTAAGGGTTCTTTCCATGTCGGACGGACGAACTGGACGACGTAAGCAAGGTGAAAGAGCGAACTAGTGCTTGATGGGACAATGTTGTCAGCGAAACAGTTACTGAAGAAGAATGGCGAGAACATTTTCGCATGAGCCGAGGATCGCTTTATAAATTACCTGACGAACTGAGAGTGAATTCGATTTGAATACGCTACGTGTGGACGTGGAAAGTTTGGAATCCGCAAAGAAAAATTTGCGGATTCAAAACGGCTATTCGGATGCGTGTGGGTGGGGTCTAAGACTATTGCTTTTTTGATGCTCTCATGCCGACGCTGTCGCCGTTGTGGCACCAAAAACTCCCTATTTGGTAGTGGAACCCGGTTTGTATACATTGTCCATGCAGGTGTCCCTTGAAACCTCAGTGTTGACGGCAAGGACACGCTTATTATCTGTACAAGGATACAGAGTGACGTCCAAAGTCTTAACTGTCAACTAAGCTCAAAATGATGAAACCTCTCCCTATTCAACTGAATAGTTTTGTACTGAAATTAAGGGTGACCTTACGAAACTCCGATGGCGCCCGCTGCGGTAGCGACAACTGAAACAAACAGGCAATACGTCCGTGCTCCCGGTTAAACCTTAGGAAAGCTAGTGGAGGAGAAAACTTTCCAAGTAACGTTTTCGTTGCCTTTGTCGTCGAAGTTGCGTAAACTCCCTTATTCACGTTTGCTGAGGGAATGTTGTGACAAGGTTCTTACAGGTGAAGTAAAGCGTACCGATTTTAATTCCTCCTGAAGTTCACTGTTAACTTTTGAAAGTGCAGCGTTTTTCTCTCTTAGATCACTGATCTTCGCATTCAATTTGTCCTCCTTGGTTAAGGGTCTAGAAAGGAAAACAAAGCAAACGCATTAAATTCAACACATTTCCGCTACGATGGTTGGGAAAATTTCAGCAGTCAGAATTATATTATGGAAACCAGCTTTTATCCGTGAGGCCTGGTATCCACATACAAATTGGCCGAATTTATACTCCGAGAGACGAATTATCCGTCTGAGACGGATAAATCATCTCGGTTAGCGCTGACGGACGAATCAAGTTTGTCTGAACACCGGATTTATATCTAGACGATTTATCCGTCTCAGACAAATAATTCTTCTGGCCCCAGTTCGACATTGTCCAGACTGATCTCCATTCATCTCCTCAGTTGACAGAATTTGATAAAAGACCAAAGCATTAAATAAACATTAAATACTTAGGAGGGCTAATAAACGGGGGAGGGGGCGCTTATAACCGGACTTAAAGAGTGTTTCAAAACAAGCTACATAGCAGTGCTGATCGCTTTTTTAAGCTTCAAAACTTCGTAAAAAGTCGAATTCGGTGACACTATACGATTCACTCACAGTTCTAAAAGGTATCGAAACTACGTGCTAAGTAAATTGGGAACAAGTTAGGTTTCTGGGAAACTGCCCACCTACCCCTCCCCTAAATCAAGATTTTGCCGCAAACGAGAAGTGTTAATGTTGGCTTAGGGGAGGGCTAGGTGGGCAGTTTCCCAGAAACCTAAATTAATCCGTAAATTGTACCATGTGAAAGTAATTAAGAGATTAATTTCTATGCCGGAATGGTAACGCCTTAGGATTTCATCCACAGACTCAAAAATTAGATCTAAGAATGAAATAAATAGTACCATGTGAAAGTACTGCTAACAGCTGAGTTAAGCGGTTTCATTTGAATGGTAATACCATAGGAGTTCATTTACAAACTCAAAGTTTAAATAACGTAGTACATAAAAGGTACCATATAAAAGTACTGCTGAAGAGGTTTCATTTGATTGGTACGACCATGAGATTTAATTTACAGTCGAAAAAGTTAGAACTTCATAGTAAATAAATACAGTAAAAGCTCTATTAAAAGCGGACACCTTCGGGACCTTCCCAAGTGTCCGCTTAATAGAGGGTTTCCGCTTAGTACAGGTTTGTAAAAATTGCGCAATGTTCGCTAACGATTAACACTCAGCGGTTACTCTGAACCGTGATAAAGTTCCATGTTGTTGAGGAAGCTAAGGAAGCTGTGCTGTACTTTGTACAAGACTGTTAGCTGAACTTTTGACAGCTAGATGTATTGATTTCAAGGACGTAATCCAATACTACTATTGTCAATTCAGCCCGGTGTCCGCTTAATAGAGGTTTTTAACAATAGAGATTAGCCAAAACAATTTATTTTACTGTCCGCATCCGCTTAATAGAGGTGTCCGCTGAATAGGGGTTCGTTATAAAGGAAAATATAAGACGTTAATTTCGGGACCCGGCTTAGTGTCCGCTTAATAGAGGGTGTCCGCTTAATAGAGGTTTCACTGTAGTACCACGTGAAAGTACTGCTGAAGAGATTTCATATGAATGGTCACAGGGTTAAACTTACAGACTCAAAAGTTAGAACTACATCCGCTGAAGGGGGTTTAATTGAATCGTCACAATGTACGATTATATCCACAAACTTGAAAGTTAGAACTAAATTAATATAAAAAGTGTTCACAACTAACTCGTGTCTTAAAGTGCAGAACAACATGCGCCGCGATAAACTCGGTAAGTAAAGTCTCAAAGGAGCTTAGCATACCTCACTACAACTTTTGGAGGCTCTGTTTTTCGTTTTCTTTCTTTTTCGCCATCTTTCTCTTGTCTTCTACCTTGCTTTAGGGTTGGAGGACTCAAAGGTTTCTTTGGAAGAAGACAAAATTAAGAATTTCACTAAAGATGCAGATGAACTGAACAGGCAATAAACTTTCCAGCCATTATCAGTGTAGAGAGAGGGACTCACTGCATGCGTCCACTACTACGCGTGCTCTGTTTACAGTAAGCCATCGCGGCTGTTGATGGGGGATCAAGAAGTTATCCCTCTATTTTAAAAGATCTCTCTCTACAGATTAGCCACCCAAGAACAAGGGCAGCACGCTAGGGGAGACACTGACAGAGACTTGTTACGCCCCTTTGTGGCTCTTTTCACACTCAACAGGGAATTAGATTAAGGCGCCGTTCACACGTATACGGACACTTTTGAAACCACATATTTTCACCCGGAATCGTGTGGACAAGGACTTAAACTACTCTGAAGAGCAGTTTTAAAAATGATGCGGTTTAGGTGAGTGAGGTAACAGGTTTCGTGTGGACGCAAGGTCTATTTGTGTAAACAAAAAAAAAATCCGGTTTCAATAATCAATGGGATTCATGTGGACTGTGCCAAAGGTGTCGTTTATATGGAGAAAAGGGGTCCCTACCACTAAAAAAATAGTCTCTGCGGTCCCTGAGATTGACGGTTTTTGCAAAAAGACTGGGGTACAAGAAAGTAGGGGGATTAGGAGGAATGCTCACCCAAGAAAATTTGAATTTTCTGATCGTCATAAATGTTAGTTTTTGCATTGCATCATTACAGATTCCGTCACTGCAAAACTTAAAGGAATGTTTTGGTGACTCCCCCTCATTTATCTACCTCCTTTAGAGCCACACAATTTGGCAGCCCGACCTGACTAAAAATGAACGGGCCCTTATTACAATCAAAACTTGCAAACTCCATTTTCCTCTGTTTATAAACATACACAGCTGAAAAAGTGGCGTTAAGATACCACTAAGAACATGAAATCCAACCTACCAACTTAGGAACTGGTCTGGGTAAAGCCTCTTGGTTATGGGATGGTTTGTTTGGTGTTGGGGTTACTAAAAAGAAAAGAATTTAACGTTAATCAAGTTTTTTACTCGTCAGAAAGAAAAGCAAATACCCTAAATACTGGAACGAACGTCTTTGCTCAAATAAATAAACAAATAAATAAGTAAGTAAAAAACAACGATTTAGAGGTAGCACATCTACAAAACGGTTCTTCGTGTACAATTCCTGTTCGGACTGGAATTTAGAAGTGTTGTGTTGCTTTGGTTTTTGAGGAGACGAGAAAACAGGAGTACCCGGAGAAAAACCTCTCGGAAAAAGGGAGAGAACCATATATGGCGTGGAGGTCTACCACGTTTATGGAAGGAATTTCAGAGTCAACTTGATGTTCTACAGTTTCTGACACACTAACTTAAACGTACAACCATACGTACTTCTGTAAATGTACTTAGCCCATGTGAAAGCAACAAAAAGCCTCACCTTCAGTGGCAGCGTTCTGAGGAATCGTAGACCACGCAACATCCTGAAAGGGAAAACAAAGTTAAAATTGTTCTTTTATCTTTAGAGCTTTTTAGCATTAGGGAAACTTACAAACGATGGGTGAAAAAAGATACTTCAAACATTACGTTGATATTGTTCCAATTAGTTTAATATGGAATTTTCAACTGCACAGTCCAGGGGGAGAATTTTGAAGCTACATTAGTCAACTCCTTACCGTTTTGACTTTGTTGTTTTACGGAGTACCTCAGAGAAAAGATTAAGAAATTAAACCCTCAGGAACAGGCTATACTTTCCTCTATCAATACCATCGTTTTTGCGTCGTTCTCGTGGCTGTGCTTAGTCTCCTTTGCATTAGTTCTTCGCCAAATGTGGAGAGATTATGTTCTCGAGTGGGTAAACGATAAAACACTTTTTCGCCTGGGCTTTTGTATTTGCTTCTAGGGCCTTTCTCGCATACGGAGAGCAAGAACTGCCACGGTTCAGCACAAAAAGGGAAACATTTGCTTACAGAACAATGGAAAACATTTCCCAACAGCAATAACATTTTCCAGATTCGCCAAGTCAATACACTTCGAGTGGTTCGTCTACTTTGCTCAGGGGTGGTAGAGCGAACCAAAAAAGCGAGCGCGAGTAAAATTATCCGCCCGCGACGGGAGGCGTTGCGAATCTCTCCTCCGTCACACGATGCCTCTCCTTGCAGTGGCGACCTTTACGAGCGCTTGCGCATTTGACTGACTCTCATATCCCCAAGGAAATTAAGAGACCACTCGTAGTCTGCCAGATCATTGCCAATGTATCATTTTAATAAGAAGAAAATAATCTTACATGAGAGTCATCCAGGGAAAAGGACCTTTTATGTAGCTTGGGTTGAGGCGACGATACTTTTCCCTCTTCTCCATTTACTGTTTCTTGTGCTTCTACAAAACTCTCGAATCTGCTGAAGTCCGCAAAATCTTCCTGCCGCTGTACTTTTTCGCTTTCATCAGCTGCCTCGCTGCTGCTAGAATTCTCCTGTCCATTTCTCGGCGTGGAGGGTTCGCTTTTCACAGGGTGACCACTGTCACCAGTCTGTCAGATGATTTGGCACATTGAATAATGTCAGAATAACCAGAACACCACAGGGTGTACATGTTATTGTTTTATTTACCAGAGATAAGACAACGGTAACATGACTAAGGTTGTGTCTATACTATATTTTACAATAACTGAGCGAATCCTCGCGCGCTGATTGGTCGAGAGCTATGGTCTATGAAAGTATAGGCCACGGAAATGACGTAACATGTCACGCAGTGCTGGTTGTTTTGTTTTTGGTTTTTCGTAAAAAAATAATAAAATTTTGAGTGAAACCACTCGCCTGCGGCTCATGGTTCCACTTGAGTTTTGAACATTATATGACGCCATTCCTATGGTCTATAAGAGTGTAGACCACGGAAAATTGTGGTCGATTTGTTAACCAGTACACTTTATTCATGTCGACAAGAAAAGCTATTCCTTATATTATTTTGAACACCTGTTCACACCAAGGGTGGCACAGAAACCTTTCCGATATGCGACTCTCCACTTTCGAGATCGGCGCACGCTCCATTACAGAAATCTCGCCGAAATCACCGTTCTCGTGTGTGAACAGAAGCCCTATCCTGTATGGTTTTAGTGCCGGAGTAAGAGCTATCGGATATAATGCAATCCTTTAATGTATCCTCTGCAGTTGAATGATACAATACTACATGTGGTAGTTCATAGCACAAAACAATTTTCTGAATTTTTTCGCTAGTTTTACAAGGTACAATGTAGAACTTCCGGAACGAAAATTACTGAACCGTATTAAACCATATTCCAGGATTCTTAACCGACAAGTAATTAATGAAACCGAGATGAAAACTCCCTGTAAGTGACGAACAGTTGTAAAGTGATACACTTCTATCACTTAACACAATTTTTTTTATAATGTTACCGTAACTGTATTTGTCCAAAGCTTGATATAGGTAAGCACTCGACTTCTTGTTGAAACCTAATCTGTTTTAAAACGGGAGATGGGTGTGGTACGCTGTCGGGTCAAAGGGTATCGGACAAGATAAAGTAGCAGTAGTAACCAAAAACGAGATTGAATATACAGAGAGTTCAGAGTTTTGAACAAAATTCAACCTAACTTGTGCGTTGATGCTTGTTAGCAATTCAGCAGCTTGTGAACATTATTACAGAGACAAATACAAACCTGACTTGAATGGCTTGATGACTGGGATGATGGTGGCGTTCCTTCAACAACAAACATAAACAAGAGATATCAGAGACTAATCCCTAAAACAGGGATGGTAGGCATAAACCAAAGCAGGCGACTGGTTATGGGTAACTACTACGACTAAAACGCCCGTGGAAAAGAAGTTTTTTTTTCACTTTGCGGTTGGAAAGTAAATGCGAGTCTGCGTGTAGTCTTTGGGGTGAATTAATGAATGTACATAACAAAATGAATATACAGTCCACTCTCTCTTACCGGACACCTCTATTTGACGAACAAATCTCTAAGAAGGACAACAGCCACTTTTGAAACCGTCAACGGACACTTGAGAAGTGCTTCATGCAATGAAAAGTACCACGAAATAGAAATGTAAGTGCTTTACATGACAGTAAAATGCAAAATTTTAGTTTTTCCTAGTCTTGCTCCAGTTCGCAGTGTGCTGATATGCTTTGAGACCAAAAAGCCGTGAACGTTTTCTTGAAATGACGGATTGATTGCACGATGAGAAAAATGATTGCACAATGAGAAAATGATTCCACTTTTTACTGTTTTGCACAAGTAAAGCAGATGTGTATTCACTTCAAATAGGTTCAGTTTTAGTTTCTTAAAATTAAAATCATTAAAACGGACAGTCAGGGCCGGTCCTGGACGTGTCCTCCTTAGAGAAAGTTGACTGTACTACGTTTATTTTTACCTCTATTCTCCTTGGCCTTTGCTGCAAACAGTTTGTTTAGATCCAAAGAAGACGACCTGGAATGTCCTTTCTTTCTAGGGGGTGGGGGAGGAGGTTCTCTCCTCCCTTCAGATGAAACACTGCCCTGACTTTCACTATCTCCAGGAGAGGTCGGCGACGCGCAATCATCCTGATTACTAGTTTGTACATCCCCGGTTGATCTTGGTCTCTCTCCGCTTCTCCTGTTCGCTCGAAAAACAACTTCTTTACTAGTATCCTCCTTAGTTGGTTCTTCCTCTTCTGCCACTCGTGGGGGAGTGGGAGGGGGTGACGGGGTCTTCCTTTCCCCGGGGGAGAGAGGTGAAGTGGGTGTCTCGTCCTCAGGTGAGGATGGAGGTGAGGATTGGTATATAAATTTATTGGTGGGTGTCCACCCATCACGGGTTTGTTTTCCTGATGGCGGCGGTAACAGCTGACCAGGAAGGGCGTCAAGCAAGCTGGGTTTGACAGCTGCTCTTGGTCTGGCTATCTCTATTTCTGCAGTTACTGCTTGACTCGGACTTATTGGCCCCGTTTGAGATACTTCAGTTTGCTGAGTATGAGAGGACGGCATCACAATATGCAAAGGTCTTATGGGACTGGTAGGGCTGCTCTCACCTCTAACAGCTTGTCCATCAGCAGCATCATCCAATGAAGATGATTCAGAATGGGATCTTGGTCTGGCAGCCTCATGGTCTTCGTCTCCTTGGATATCACTCAAATGCGGTACTGGTTGAACCAATGAGCGCTACAAAAACATACCGACACGATAAGGCTGCAAAACAGTCCGCATTTTTGCGTATTCAAGTAAGCGCGCGCAGTCAAACAAAAGGTCTGGAACGAGACTGAAAACAGAGAGCGAGACTGGGGAGAAACGTGTGAGACTCGCGCGCTTCGCGCGCGTAAGACTCTTACGCCACGCTTTACCGATTTCTTTACTAATTTTGAGAAAAAAAACCGACTGTTTTGCAGTCTACGACACGATTGATTAACCGACCCCTCATGTATCTGGGAAATCATTACGACTGTTGGTATTTCTTCCAACGATAGGCAAAAACTCTTTGGGGGTCAAACTGATGTGAAATTAAAACTAAATCCCCTCAGTCACATTTTGCAGGTTACCGACTAAAGCCGGCGCTCTTCCCGTTGCTTGCTTGATAGAATCCTTTTCCAACTGATTGCGATTTTTAAGGTTGGTGGCAGTGTTAAAATGTAAATCAATACACATCTCTCAGTCTTGACCTTAACAAGCCTGCAAAACATCAGAGCCCGATACGGAACATATAGCCTCTCCCAACATCCTCATTACCAACCTTTAGTGTCATCTCAAAACTGAGTTTAGCCTGTTTCTACACATTCACCACCCACGATAAAAACTATATTCTATTTGAAGAAAATCAAACCGGTATTTGAGATAACTTCACTGCAGAATAACATTATCTCACCTCGATCACAAATGCTGAGGATATGAAGAAATTTATTACATCTATAGTTAATATTGAGGTGAATAAACTTACTGCCTTCCTTTTAACAGCAGAGTCATGATTTATCTTTGCAGGCGATGGTGCAGCATTGCGACCAAGAGAATCACTAAAACGTTGCCAGTGCTGTGCAGACAGACAGATAGAAGTGCAACACAGTGTACAAAGTGCTTAACAGTGCTTACAGTGCAACTTGCATTAAATAATTGATTCATAGGTCAGCGTGCGTAGCTAAGAAACACGATTAAAGTTTGAAGAGCATGAAAGAGGTGTAAGAGTTAATCGAGGTGCTATAGAATTTGATTTGGCTTATGGTAAGTTTCTTACCATAAGCCATTACCGTTTATCGGTTTACGGTCAAGTCGCCCGAAGGTCATCTCACCCGAAAAGAGAGTTATGTCGCCCGAAATTTTTAGTCAAGTCGGCCGAAATTTTATCATGCTTAACAACAACCAAACATCTTAATCGTGCCAGTTCCGTTTCATCAAATCTTTTAGAACAAGATATATTACTCATTTACCTCGCTTGTTTTGTCCCATCATCGCATAAAGAATGAGATCTGTTGCACATTCATCCCGCTTTTTTCGTCTCATCATAGCGTCGTTGCTTAAAGAACGAGACTTTACTACACAATTATCCTGCTTGTTTCTTTTCACTATCGCTAGAGCGAGATACATTTCATACATTCTTTATTAAAATTTCGGGGACTTTACTAAATACTTCGGGCGACATGACTTCTAGCCTGCGTGCAGACGATAACTAAACTCTGATTAGTACCGTCTGCGAAGCAGCGCAGAGATCCTTGTTCTGAACCCCCAACGGACTCAACGAATTACCGGAAGTGCGTTTCGAATTTCCCTTCAACCTAGCCTTTTTTAACTGGCCAATCGTGGCGCGTACTCAAATCTGGGTACACAGCTGGAAGTCCAGAACAAGGATTTCGGCGCTGTTTCGCAGACGGAGTTAACCAGAGTTTAATTTCGTCTGCGCGCAGGCTACATGACTTCGGGCGAGATGACTTTCGGGCGACTTGACCGTTACCGTTTACACACCCTGATCAAAAAGCTAGCCCATGAAAACTTGGATGAGCAAGCTTTTTTATGACGAATGATAAAGCCAGAGGTAATTAAAAGGAAAGGAAAGGAGAGGAAAAGAATTGAATTCTGATTCATAAAATAAATGGCGCAGACAGTAATTCCTCTAAAGTGTTGCTAGACCAACAAAATTAGGCAAAAAAATCTACCCTTACTATAAACAAACGATCTAGTCGAACTACATGTATACAAAAGGAAACTACAAGAAATTAAGAAATTAGATTCAAGCCAATGCAGAACAAATACACTACACTCCACAACAACAAAGGCAATACAAAAAGAAGCTTACATCAGGAGAGGAGACATTCTGTAGCTCTTTTTGTTGTTCTTGTTCAGTTCCTTGGACCTTTTCAAGTGGATGGACTGGGGCTAAAGAAACAAGAACCACACAGGCTAAAATGGTGCATGATTTCCAAATTTGATGACAAATATCCAGACTTTCTCCCCTATTCTTCACACAATTAGCACAATAAAAGTTTTCCACTTCAAAAAGGCCAGCCCGTTTAATGTACTCGATACAGCTTTTTGGACACCATACCGATATTTCTCAATCGTTTTAAAAGTGATTTTATCCTTGTCTGATTGGTATGAAATTTTCACCACTAACTGACTTTGGATTGAAGTTTGTCAAAATGTAGTTTTAAGTAAATCACCATGACAACAATAAACAAAAAACTTTGAAATCGACAAAAGCCGAATTTTGCACAATCAAGACCTGATACTGAAAAGCCGACACCAGGAATTTCAAATGTGGTGTTTAGCAAATAACCTCTGTGAGAAGTAAAAAATTCCGAACGTTTGAATTCAAACACTGCAGTGGTCAATTTGATAAAACTTTTACTAGTGTAATTTACAAGTGTAGCTACTGTTTTGAAGTACGAAAAAAATTAATAATAACCGCACTTGTAAATTACTCTTGTAAAAGTTTAATTGAATACCCTTGCTTCTATCAATGCAGCAATTATTGACTGAGATGTAGATGAGCCATAAATTCAGATACCTGAAACAGCTGTCTCCTTATTTACAGGTAAAAGAACATTAGGTAGAGTTGACGGCAGTTCTAAACCATGTCGCAGTGCTACCACAAGGTGCATTGCAATGCAGAACTCATCCAAATTGAGAGCATTGTCCTTATTTATATCTGAGAGGTGCCTGAAAAACAAAAAAATGTTGGGAGTGTCATGGTGTGACCAAAAAAGAGTTGATCTCACCACAATCACCACTTATCCACAGGAGGTCTAACCATCAAATGGGAAAATAAGCAACAACAGTGGTATCAGCATTGGTATTGTGAATGGCAAATTAAGCAATAGGTGTAGATTAGCTGAACAACAACTTTGCATGTGTATCATGCTTTTTTGTTCATTTTTTGCTGTCACTGCGTAACTGCGATATGAAACTTCCTAATTTCACATTTTTTGGAATACGTGAACACGTGACAATGATTTTTTTCTTTACCTTTTAATATATTCCTTTAGAATTCAAATCCAGAAAAATTTGCCAACATTTGGCAAATTGAGATGCAATCAGATCAATTATGGTTGAAACAGCACAAATGCACTTTCAAGTGATGTTTTCACTACAGTCAATGCCTTTCATTCTTATGTTCTTCTCCTCCGAGGGATCAAAGATTAGTTTAGAGACCTGATTAACTTTTCACACCATATAAATAAACAAAAGTAAGAAAGCCATAGAACAAAAGAAATTTTAGAACAAAGTTTTTATCCAAAATTGGGAAAACTTGTTGGGCGAATATGCAAATACAAAATTTGGTCCAAAATCTCAAATAATACACACTTCTTAAACATGCAAAAATTAAGGAGAAATTATTCTTCGAGCAATGGAACCAAATGCCTTACCATATCTTTGAGAGCACCTCTACAGGTAAACTAGACTTCATGAAGAAGTCCCTTGCCCTTGGACCTAAAAAGCAATATTTGAGAGTAACACACACAGTGTTCTTAATCCCATTAATAAAACAAAGTCCATACATAGAGTACAATTCCAATAAAACTGATCAGCTCTGTAAGATTCACTATTAGAGACTTTAAGATCAAGGTTTTTCAGCATTTCCCGCGAGGCGTAAACGTCAAGAACTCATGTGACCAATGCCTTGTCATCAGGTTTGCGGCTTGAGGCTCACATTTGTAGGGCTAGACCACACTCTAGAGGTAAGTGATGCACTGCAAGGCTTTTTTGCACTCTAAAATATCACAATCCCACATTTGTGAGAAAATACTACATTTTACCACATCTTTCACTATTAATTATTAATAAACAATATTTCATAGGAACATAAACTTAAGGACAAGCTCTCAGCTAAAATAAGAGTGAAAGAATGAAAAAAACAAACATGGCAGCTGCGAGCTACCAACCCCTAGTCTTCAGTCCCAAATATGGGCAGACAGATAAAAATGATTATGATTCTTGTGAAAAATATGATGTTAACTATAGTTAACAAATTCATCAATAAAGGACAGGGTTCAAGCCCTTTGTAGATTAGAGCTCAAAAAAAGTCCCATTCATTAGTCCAGGGCAGGTGGATTTTCCTATGTATGACATATTATTTAGGCTCCAATTTTTTTCGTTATCATGTGTACCACAAAACTGCAATATCTGGGCATACATTTTCATTATTTCAAACCCTTTATTAAAATAATATTGCACATATTGCACGGTGTGTTTTGTTTGTTAGTTTGTTTGTTTTCTCTAGGCACCATTATTTTTGCATTGTAAAGTATTAGGTCACCAAAAGGCAATTTTGAGAAAAGTTGGGATTGGAGCACTGTCAAATGAATAAGATCAAACCTGTATTAAGCCATCACCTTTAAGGAATGGCCAACAGACCACTTAATACAGGTTTGGCAAAGTGCAGTATCCAAAACCTGACAAATTGACCTCGAAGTGTTTCTAGCTCTTCTTGTGCCAAAAGGAATAGAGTAAAAGACCACTGAATGCCATACACAGTGTATCTATTGCACTTCTATGTTGACAAAATGATCATTTAATAGACTGAGGTAAAAGCAATAAAAAAACAACTTGTTGGGACATGGAAAATGTGACCACAACCACTTATAAAGAGAGGTGGCCACCTAATACAGGCCAGTTTTACAGAAATTATGTGAAATTACCTTTGGCGCTTAAGAAAGACTGTGACTGCTAAATACAGGGTCACCACTTTTTACAGGTCCACTTAATACAGGTTTGACTGTAGAATGAAGGGATTATTATACATTTCTGGGAAACCGCCCACCTACCCTTCCCCTAAGCCATCATTTTGCCCTAAGTAAGAAGTAGGTGTTAATGTTGGCTTGGGGGAGGGGTAGGTGGGTAGTTTTCCAGAAACGTATAATGATCTGAATGAATTACAATGTACCTTTGACTACTCCACCCTCCATAGGTTGCAGTCTCCTGAACTGCTTTGTATAATATTCTCTCTGCTCTGGCAAGATACGCCACAAGTTATCTTCAGATTCCTCTTCAATACTACTTATACTTTCTGCAAAGCTTGCAAGTGAAGGGGCCCTGAATTGGAAATTTGATGAAAATAAGTTCAGGTGTGTTAAAACATTTTACTAGTTGGGGTACATTTGCACATATGAAATTAGAGATTTAGGCTTTCTCTTTCAAAAGTCCTAGGGGTCAAAATATTGGCCAGTCAATCAACAATGTCTGGCCAGAATGGTGTCTTGGCCAGCCAAAAGCTCCATATGAGTTGCTGGTGATGTTGACTGGTCACGCAGACTATTTTTGAAAAAACAGCTAAATCCTCAACTGTAAATCTTAGATTTTGTCTCTTGGTAAAATACAATCACGTTTGATTATTAATAAAGTGACACAATGATTAATTCACTTCTTTCCAAATTTTTTGACTGGCCAGAAAACCAGACTTGACCAAGCAAAAATTTCTTTGGCAGGTCATCTTATCCGGCCAACATCCAAAAATTACTTTAATGGTTAAATTTTAAAGTGTCTAAAACTTATGCATTTCTGATTTTTCAAATGAGTAACATTGTAGTTTTTTTGTGTGTGATGTGACAAATAAGAGACATGACTTTATATTAAGGGGCATGGATGAACAGTGGGATTTTTTTAAGGCTGTATGTATTACATTGTATCATTATTTTGCTAGGGCATCTATTTTTGTTCTGTTCTTGAATAAATAGGAGCACAGTGTAGACGATATAAACATATCAGGCGTAACAAAGAGTAAATTTGTATCTTCAATACATAGTTGAAAGACAGGGATCATTTTGGGATAAATCACTATCTGGCAGATAAGTATTGGGAAAACCAGTTACACAACTACTAGGTAGAGATTTATCCAGTGGATAGCGTTATCTACCTTTTGGAACAGCACAGCCCTGGTCATGAGTGAACCCTATGGGTTAAACTACTGTGGCACCTAGTTTCAAACCTTAGCAGAACTTCCCCCTCTTCGCCTGCAAGCTCTGGTGAACTACTGCGATCCACATCTTCATCACTGGAGCTATGCTCTTCATCTACCTCATTTACCAATGGTATTGGAGGTTCAGACTGTCCCGGTGAGTCCCTAGGTGAGAAGGCTGTCCACTGAGTATTAGAGATACCATTGTTGATTGATGGGTTTTCACCTTCCCTCCAAGATCCTACAGTAAGATCACATTTTTAGCAAGTACTGTTATATGCCCTGAACAACAGACGACTAGTTGGTGTAAGTTTGGCACGTGGGTTATTTCAGAACAAAAAAAAAACTATCCTGACAGATCACCAGTAAAAAATCTCATCTGACAGAGGGTTGATTGCTCTGGGAATATTATGGTCATGGGTTAAAGCAAAAAAAGCTATAATATGTCAACAGAGAAAAGAAAAATAAACACGTTTTATCGACTGTAGGTGATTTTACAGAACTAATTTTGTCTTATGACCTCTTCAGTTGTACGCCACATGATTGAAGAGGTCATAAAACAAAATCCGTTTTGTAAAATTGCCTAGACAAAAATAATAGTGTGTTGAAAGTGAACCTCCATTAGACTTTTCTTTTCTCTGCTGACATAAAGTTAAGTAACACTTTCTTGGCTTCAATGAACAAAATTTTGCAGAAAAAAGCCATAATATTCTTTAAATTCCCATTTGGGTGGTGCTTTATAAAAAGCCAACTTTTGAAGTATATGTATCTTTTATTCTTTGCACAATTTGCACATGCAATGCATCAGCTTCTCATGAATTTGCATCCACTGCATGTGCAGTTCACGCAACAAACAAAACATAATGCAAAGTCAGGTTGACATGAAGCACCAACCAAACAGCAGTTTAAAGAGTATTATGGTGTTTTCCGCTTTGGCCCAATTGAAAGAAAACATGAAAAAGTTCAGGCAAAAAGGCAGCATTTATGGGGTCTTTTAAGAAGCAGAGCTAAAAAAATCTTGCCATCAAATGGAAGGAGGTGGATTTCTTTCTGGAATCATCCAAAGTCAACTTGCATAGGTACACAATCAGCGACAAAGTTGTTGAGACATTGTACTCAAATAGGGTAATTTCAGAGAACAAAACAACCCACATCCCCCCCCTCCCCTCAAATCAAAGTTGGGGTGTTTGTTGTTTTCTACAGGTAGCTTGAACAGCGACACAACATTGCATGGAGAGGATGATGGATGGATAGGGGCGGGGGGGGGGGGAGTGGGAAAGCTATATTTCCCCCTTTTTAAGTCACTAAAATGTCAGAAAGGCCCTTTTGTCACCGATTGCAGGTCACCAAACAGTTTTACAACAGCACAAGCCAAAACAAAAGTGAATAAAAAGTCAAGTGCCCAGCACATGCTCAAGAACCTTACTTTCTTCTCTAGGTTCAGCTGTAGGATTGTTTGCCCACGATGTTTCTCTGGTGTTGACGGTTGGTTGGCTAGCTGGTGGATGTGCACCCCAGGTTGGTTGGCCTGTACTACGAACTTGCTCCACTGATAAGAGATCAAAACAATTTTTTTTCAACTGATTCAAATAATAAATTATAGAATTCACCAGGTTGCCAGTGGTGACTTAAATGTAGCGGGGCAATGAAAAATTGTTGTTGAAATGCCCGACGGGTAACTACAATAAAAATAAATAAATTCGAATTCAGCCCAATGTAAGCTTATATTAGGATTGCAAGTACAAATTTAAAATAAAAATAAAATGACATGTTGTTTAGTTGGACTACCTTTCTTTCACTGCCCTGAATCTAATTTCTCTGAGTCCTATGAACATTTTACTGTTTCAAGTGGAAAAGGATTAAACCCTAAACAATTCTGAACCAATCCGTAAGACGCCATTTTGATTTTTCTAACGTGACTCACGTCTTACTCATAGTACTTTGTTGCCTGCTTTCATCACTGCCACTTCCTTAGCTCCCACGTGTGAACAACTTTGGAATACTAAATAAACTTGAAAAGACTGGCAAAATGTGGAGATTTCTCTCTGACTGTGAGCTGCCTCCAATGAAATCCAGGGCCACTTAATGTTGACCTGGGCCACTAGGAACTCAAGGAAACTGACATCTGGCTGGCCACCAAGCACTGGAGTTAAGTTTTAGCCCTGATATTACTCTTCAAATAATTATGTAAATAATTTATAGTATCAAGGTATAGACAAACCTAGCCTGAGAAAACAGCCCACATTTTGCAATGCCACCACAGCCTTTCGCAACAAAATTACATCTAAAGAATGAGCACAGAAATTACATAGTGATGACATGTCACTTCTCATGATTCATTCTGGGTAGTGCTTTTAATTGGGTGAAGCAAATTTCCCTCACTGCAAGACCCATCACAAGAACTACCCAGATCTGGGTTGTGACATGTCATCAGTATGAAATTTCTCCACTCATTCCTTAAACATCATTTCGAAGGGAAACAAGAGGCAGTGTTGTGAAATGAGAGCTGTTTTATCAGGCTAAGAAAAACCTCTTATTAAATGATTTATGTCACTGCTATTTGAAAGAATTACCTGCATGTGAGGCTGATGGAGGCAAGGACTGGGTTCTAGTCAGGACACTTGTGTGATGAGATCCTGCAACAACCTGATTACCATACACAGGTACCCCACTAGGCTGGGGATACTGGTAGGACTGTGGAATATACTGCCCTTGAATCTGCTGAGGAACTTGGCCTGGGGATTGAAACGGAGATTGCATAAACTGACCAGGAGGTACTTGCCCATGCAGCTGAACTTGTGGCTGTTGATTAGGCATTGCATAGCCTGCCACTTGATACTGTTGTTGATGCCAGTTTCCTCTTTGCTGCAGGTTTTGAGGTTGGATTTGCTGTGGTGTGGCTGCTCTTGGTGGTGGAGGGATAATAATGTTTCCTTGGTAGCTCTTTGAACCAGGAGGAGACACAGGGCCAATAACTGCGGGGGATTCTACGGGCGAAGTTACACCTTCAGCATCAGGGTTAACAGCAGCCATATCTGCTAAGTCATCTGCAGGCTGCACTTTTGAAGAACTTGTCAATGAATTGGAATGATGAAATTCTCTTTTTCCATCAGCCTTTTTAAATCCCATTTTCTTCTTTTTCTCTAAAGAATAATTTAACAGCAAATAAAATGAAAAGTCATTTCAATACACAGCTCTGCTCACAACCTTTAAGTACATGTACACAGAAAATAACAGTGCTCAAGTCTGGGAGATTTCCAGTTGAAGCAAACATAATTTATGTTAACCCATTCACCCCTGAACCACTCCTAACCCTGCATGCAGATTAAAGTCCCTTGACTACTTGTGACGTCACCAGTTTTAACCCTCAAGGACAACTTTGTCAGCTAATTTGTGCAGGGTGAACAGATCTTTCAATCCATTCCAGAATGAGCACCATTCAGTTAAGGACACCAGAGAAAAAGGCAACAACAAAAAAAGTAACATTGGCCCAAAAATTCCAGCTTTTCGAAGTCAGATCAGCACAGCCATTCTTCTCATGAACCTGGCTTTGCCAGGAATAACAGTCTGTCTTTGATTCAAATTTAGGAATTTCTTGAACCCCATAACTTTAATTTCTAGTATGAAAATTCAAGTAAAACAGTTTTGGCCGTCAACCAATGTGAATTTTATTTACTGGGTTCACCCTAGCGAGCATGAAGCTTGGAGTTGTTCTTATTGAATTCAGCTCATGTGGAGTAAAGCATCTGAATCAACGAGGCCAGTGTGAATTAGGGCCTTTGTCATGTGAATTCTTTTGTTGGGTCTATTCACTGAAGTTGTTCATAATACAATTCAGCTCATGTGGAGAACAGTATCTGAATCAACTCAGTCAATGTGAAATACATACAGTGTAGGGCATTTGGACTGGGCCTCAGAGTCTATTTATGTCACGTTAGTTCTTTGTTGGCGAATTAATCAAGGTGCTGGTTGTAGAATGACAAAGAAAAGCTGAGTGCAGTATCAAAAATTCCAAGTTCATTCTACAGCAAGAAAGACTGGAGCATTTACTTGCAGGTATATCAAGAGCAAAAAGTTCTAACTTTTCTTATTTTCAAATGGAGTGCTCAATTCAGTTAAATTCAATTTACTTTACAACAAAATTCAAAGAATAAAAATACAAGATTACACAGAAACAAATGAATGTGGTGAGAAAGCCCAAAAAGAAACCATAAGGCTCATAAATCATTGGGCTCCCACAGAGCATGAAAGTATAAGTGTACAGTAAGGCCAGGTAAGTGTATACATACAAATAAAAGACATTCATGATACAGATTTAGGTAAATATAATCAAAATACTGTAATCTTTCAAAGGAAAGATAACACAAAGAAATGAGTGAACATAATGTTAAAATGAATATGTATAAACTCATAAGATGGTCACTAAGGGAAGTCAAGAATGCTAATTAACAGTGCAAATAACCTTCCAGAATTTCATAAAGAGCTTTTTCTTTGCATTTTAAGAATCTATCATGATTAAAGACTTTAATAAAGACACTTGTACCCACCAGCTATTTCTTGCAGTTTTTCTTTATCTTTCTTTTTCTTATCCAGTCTGTTGTCAGTGCCCTCATCGTCTCCCTCTTCAACAAGTAAAGTTCGGTTCATTTCTGAAATAAGGACAAATAAAAATTAAACGTAAGACGTGTACCACTTGCCCAAATAAATTAATATTTATGGCAAAAGGAAATCGCCAAAGTACAAAGAAACATACAAAACAGTTTTTAAAGAAAATTTGAAAAGATGATATTTTGTTGAAGACTTACAACCCTACAGCTGACTGCGATAATGACCAACAGATAATAATGCCTTAATGCAAGATCAACAACAATCATTGCACATGATTACAAAGTTCAAGCAATTATTAACTGCTATATACGTTGCCAACTATAACTTATGACTGGCTCCTTCTTCAGTTTCACTTCAGACATTGCCTTTCTGTTTTACCTTAAGTCATGTTACTGACCTGGTAGCTAGTTTGTAATTCAGTGATATCATGTTCTTTACCAAAATGTACTTCTTAAAAGCTCTAAAAACTACTCAGTAAAAATTTATTGCAGGGCAAAAGGAGCACAGTTTAAATCAACCTTTGAGATTTAGACCTCGAGTAAAGTAACATGCATAACACACATATATTATGTACCTTTCATTTAACATATTGGTTTATAAAAGTCCTCACTGGGATAACAATAAACAAGTATTACAATTCTTACTTTCAAAAACATCAGTGACCTAAAAATAAAATTGGGTTTTGTAGAAGTTTTTGTGGTTCCAAAAAGGTTTCCATGATCGCATGGGGTGGAACTGAAAAAGGGGTTTCCACGCAGGTTGAAGTTTTTCAGCTTGAATATCGGCTTCAATCTCTACTGTGAAATAAATTAAAATGAACTGGGGATTGACTCTACTTAGGCTTTTTGGATTGCTTGAATAAGCGAGTCAGATCACGTTTCACCTTGAGAATCTAAACAATTCTGTAGATGTTATATACATAAGGTAATCTTTGAACCCATCCCACCCTTTCCTCGATGCAACTACAATGGACTGTTATAATATTATATTAAAAAATATATGTAACACAATAAAGAAACACAGAACTCTAAAGAGAGTTTGATGTAAAATAACCTAAAATAGTATGACCAAAATGCTTAAAAAATATTACAGTTTATGCCATTATGTTGCCGGTGCTTCAAATTTCCAATGCAACAATCTAAAAATGTACCACAAAAGCATATTATAAACATAACATATTTTACTGAGAAACAACATGACAAAAAAACAGAAGACCTTCTACAAGCCCAGAAGCTGCTTATACAAGCAATAGCGTGTTATCACAACAGAAAATGCTTACTGTCAATAACACAAAAATGAACTGGGAAAATGATCACTAAACATTTGAGACATTCCTATCACATGATCGCCATTTAGTTGACCAGGTGATAAGCAACTGGAATTCATATGACTCCCATTTGTATCCATTCAAACAAATGAAAGATCAACTGGCAGTGCCCAATACAATGTAATCACATGGCACTACAGTGTTCAAGTGCAGTCATAACTATGGTAAAAAATAAACAATGTCTACAGGGATCATACACTATGTCTTCTTCAGGCCAAAAATCAAGGACATTTTGAGGATTTTCTGGTGCATGCGCACATGCAAGAGCAACGAGACAGCACCAGAAACAAATAAATGAGAGTTTTACAATTAATTTTGTGGGCAATCACTCTGTCTGTATTTGCACTGACAAGGTTAAAAAGTTAGAACATTAAAGAGCATTAGATGTTCTTTAATTACTAAAAGTCAAGGACTTTCAAGGATCAAAAACCAATTTCAAGTTCTTTCAAGGTCTTGCAATTGGCAGCTTGCAATTCACAGCTTTTCAAGGGTTCTAAAGCTGCATACAAATTCTAGTGTCTAACAGAATTATATACAATACAGATATACCTAATATTATATTGCAAGAAAAAAAATATCTGTACATGTACACTGTGGGCATACTGATGATGATTTATTAGCATGCTCTGTGGGCTACCAAATGATATGTAGATGATATCTCAAAGATTTGTATTGTGCACCAAAACTGAATATGAAGTCATTTAACATCTACTCCAACTTCATCATAACTTTGTCTTACTCCACGCAAGAATAACTCCCTACATCCTGGGAGAGTTGCAAATAATAGTTGGTCATTGACAGGAGCCCATAAACCAGAGTGTGGAGCCCCATACTTAGCCTATTCAACCGTGTTTTCATATTTTGATATTCAAAATTAAGGGGAAAATCTGACGAAAAATAGACTGGTCTGTGAAAGTGCTGTTGCATGGGCAAGAGGGAGCTGCTCACTCCAGGTTATGGGCTGCTGTCATTGGACAATGTCTGACTCCTTTGAAATCCTACCTGCAGTTGGAGGTGACTGGACAAATCAAATGAGACTATTGATTTGCAGCTTTGTAAAGCAGTTAGAGGAATTAAAACTCAAAATGATTTTCGTTCAAACACTTTTCTGCTTTGTCTGACTAACAAAGGGATCTGGTCAGACATAATTATGTCCTTTCTAAAGGGGAAAGATCTTTGCAGGCCTGTATACTCCTACTGACCACTATTTTAAGCGCCTACTGTACATGTACCTCCATTACATTATCTGACAGTTGATAACTGTACATGTAGCTTGCTAGCCCTCAGTCTGCCCATACACTGATAAGTCTAGCAAGTACCATAATGATAAACAGAGCAGTAAAACTGCGACTATCATGATTAACAGAGCATCAAAAACCTCCACCCGGTTACCCTGCTAGTAGAGTCGCTTCGATCTTTCCTAGATAAGTAGGGAAAGATCTCGAAGCGACTCTACTAGCAGGATACCACCCGGTTAGCTGGATTGGATAAACACTGGTGTGTCAAACGGGAGGCTGCTGGCTCTAACCCCGGCCTCACCAACACTCAGGGTCTCTAAGTGAGCAGAAAGTGCTGCCTTTTTTAAAACAACTGCAAAAGGTCAAACTTTACCCTCTTCTCAGATAAGGACGATAAACTGTAGGCACAAACACTATCAAAGGTGTTCCAAAAGCATTTCACTCCACATATTACTACAATAAATACTCTCACATACTTTTAGTTTAATAACATTATTATTAATATGATTTTTATTGAGTGTACATGTACAATACTTACTTAAACCCTCATCATGCAAAGAACATAGACATGGACATGATTGAAGTCCCTTCCACCTTGCAAGAATTTTTTTTAAAAGAAAGGTCTTCAATATGAAAAAGCCATTTACCTTTCAATCACTTGAGTAATATTTTCGAACATAACTTTAAAAGCAGCAATCTAGCTTAATTAGAAAACAGTACTTATACACGTATAAAAGCAACTGACTTTTATGCTTCACCGACATAACCATATTTACCTCTGCGGTTTCTTTACACAGAAGCAATACAAAATCATATATTGAAACACCGATTAAGCTTTCATTAAGGAAAACGTAAAGGTATTCCATAATGTGTATAAAGGAATTCAATAACATCCACTAATAATATGATATAAGCTTAATGCCCGTATTCAAGTCGAGAAAAACTGTTCAGCAAGTCGCAATCTGACCTAGGTTATGAAACGCGGTGGTCGGACACAAAATAATGAGATAGTCAAATCCAAAGCCTTAAAAAAAATGCAACGAAAAAATTCTTACCTTAAACAATATAGATTTTTCGCAAAGTAGATGAGCTTTTTTCCACTCTGCGATCAAATAAGATCTTCCTCTTCGATTCGTTGAGGAAATCTCAAAGTTTTCGCTTTCACTACAACGTGAACTTGACTGACAAGAAGATAACGGGAGGTCATGGCGAACAACATGACATTTTTCTACCATATAACTGCTGACTTATTAAATACAAAGTTTCAGTCAGCCAAATTTTGCATAATTTTTGCAATTTCCTCCGCAAAATAGCAGAAGTCTGCGGCCATATTGGAACGTGAAATGTCACGTGCTAATATATGCACTCCCGGATGACAGTAGGGGCGGAGAAGTCACCGCGAGACCGGAAGAGAAATTTCAACATGTTCATGGTGACATGCAGGCACTAGGAGGGGGGTGAGTGGGAGAAAAAGGATAAACAGGGGAGGAGTCCCTTTCAGCTCTTCTTGGCTCTCTACTTTTCCATTTCCCCTTCATTTTTCCCGCCTGCTGAGTGCTATTTGTGTGTATTTCATGTGAAGAAACAACAACAAACTAATCCTCAAGGCGAAGAGAAAAAGAGAAAAGGAAAATCCAAAATAAAACTAAAGATAATATATTTTGTGTCCGATGTTTCGGTTTGAAACACAAAGCTTCTATGACTTCCTAAACCATGTGATCACGGTTTTTTTTTTGTTGTTGTTCTTTTGCGTGGGTTGGGGGGGGGGCATAATCGAAAGTTGGATAGTACACTGCAGTGTGCCCTTCTGGAAGATTACTGATGCACATATTTATTGTATTTATTTATTTAACAGCATTTCATACGGCATTCAGCGCGAGGGCAAAGAAATCCAAAAAAATGAGTGATTTCATGAAAAAACCGTCAGAAACCCGTGATTAAAAACAAGAAAGAAAATTTAAGCAGTAGAAATCTAAACTCGGTCTGTTTAATTTGCCAGATTATTATACGCAATTCTCACTCGCAGTCTCGCCATAGTTTTACGCGTTTCCAAATTTTCTTGCGAAATTAGTCAAAATTGCGAAATAAGTTCAAGAGTCAGACGTCTGCACGCAAGCACAGAAATATCATGAATGATGAAGGCGGAATCAGTCTGGGGGTTATTTAAGATCTATTTATAGATTCTGCTTAGTTTCAAGAGTTTTGAGGAACAGTTCAAATGGGCACCCACTAGTATGGCTTTCTGTCTCTTTAATTTCAGGCTTTGGTTTTCGCGTTATTGTGCGCTTCTCTTTAACTTGTTCCTTACATTAATTTATATTTTTCAAGTGGTTGGCGGAGAAGGGGTGTGGGTTGAGACCCCTTTAAATCTTGGTTCCACTTATACAGCCTACTGATAGCCCAAAAAAGAAAGAAATATGAAGAACACCTTGAAAATTCTCGGCCTATAGCCATCACATAGCCTACGAAATGTTATCCAACAATACGTGTCCCCTATACTACTGAGGAAGGATTTCTCGAACTTCGTCTTCGCGTGTGTTCAAAATCGCGTGGTGATTAACATATGCTTCCTGGGCAGCAATGTTGCATTAATGTTGTCGATCACCTGTCACATGTTTAGTGGCAGAGGTTTGGCCTACATTACAGGTTAAAACGGATAAGAAAAAGACGACACAGTCGAGCGTGAAGCGCAAAAGGCCTCTTGCGCACCTCCCTCGTGTTCCGCACTGCGCGTTCGATTGCCTTCTCCTTCTCATTCGGCCAAATAACGCTTGTTGTGTGGGCTACACATATTGGAAGTGCATGTATCATTGTTTAATGCCGGGGGTCGTTGCAAGACTTCATTTATTTTTGGTGAAAAATTGTAAAGTGTTTGAACCAAATTCACGATTTTACCATCCTCCGAGACCAAGGGGCAGTTAGTCCGGACGACAGAATGTTCGTGCATGGTAAACTTTCACCACGAACACTCTATCGTCCCGACTAACTCCCCTGGGTCTCCGAAGATGCTATTTTACATAAAACCCGAAGCAACCAGCACAAATGAGAGGATAATAATACTTGACTTAACCCATTCGCCCCTGAACCGCCCGTAACCGCCCGTGCGGATCCAGGTCCTTTCTACCCATTGTGACGTCATCAGTTTTAACGGTCAAGGACAACTTTCTTCACTAACTTGTGCAGAGTGAAGAGAAAACCATACCAGAATGAGCACAACTCAGTCAAGGACACCGGAGAAACAAGCAAAAAACCACGTGACATTGACCTGAAAATCTCCATGAAAATCTTGTTCCATTACCCACCTCCCTTTCCTGTCGCATAAACATAAGATCCTAAAACCTTTCCTAAAAACACTTCCCACCAAAAACAAGCCCACTAAATGCCCAGCAAAAGAAAAAAAAATGAGGCGAGAAAAGCAAAAAAAGAAGGGAGGAGAGAAAGCGAAAAGTAAAAGTCAAGACTGCTGTGTCACTTTTAAACCCCAAAACTGTCGAAATTTTGCTTTCTGCGCATGCCCGAACTTCGCAAGCTGATATTTTGCATCTGGATTAGAAGGCCGCGAAGTGTTCGACCTGTAAAGCGGTTTGTGGTAAGTTTTAGCTCTTTATAGCACGACAGTGACCAGAAAACCACTCGACTAGCTTCAAAACGCGTTTTTCGGCAAAATCTCCAGGAGCGAATGGGTTAACAATATTTTCCATGGGTTGCTTCAATTTATAAACAGGAAAAAAGCTCATTCAGTTTTCTGTTCTCAATCTCCGTTCCTCCTTAATTTTTATATTATCACCATTCTACAAAAAAATTATTTGGAGCTTTTAGATTTCTGATCAAAAAGTTTCATTAAGTTTTGCTTCCGAGCCTGTAATTATGAGAAATTGCAAAAGACGGCTCTCGTCACAAAAACTTGAGATCTCACCAGTTATTTTCCACGGTCGAATTTTCTACGTTATAAAATTTATGTCCATATAATATCACAACTTGAAGTAGAGGGAACATCAAGCGTACTCAAGTGTCCACAAACTGCTCTGCACAATAACTACTGCAGCCGGCGAGTAGCAAAGTTATTTCAGCCAGCGAATTTTTCCAGTCATTAACCTGTGACCAAGCCGTCTTGTATAGGCTGACTATTCAATCTTCACATATAGCTTCATCTCCACTCCATTTTTAAACTGAGAACGGAGTTTACTGACAGAGGGATTGTTAGTCGTTCTAAGATAAGCCTGCGTAACATGCGTTTGAGGGGACGGGAAAAGTATAGACTGCGTGGCAGGCGTTCGAAAGGTAAGGGGAAGGGAATTTGGACGCGAGACCGCGTGCGAGGGAGGAGGAAGGAGGAACGCGTTTCCTCCCCTCCCCATCGCGCGCCTTTCGCGCTTCTCGCGCGCCCGGAATCTCCTTTCTTTTTAAACGCTTGCCACGCAGGCTAAGAAAAGTATGGAATTGCCTACAAGTCGAGCGCTCAAATTTTTTCACGAGCGCGAAGGGCGAGTGGTGGATTTTTTATGTTTTCTGCGCCAAAAGCGAACGAGAGAGCGAGAGCTAACTACCGGAACCGGAAATGAGAAGCGAAGGACTTTGAGAAAGTCAAGGAGAAGTAGAAAGGCGCGCAAGGGAGGTTTACTATCCCTTCTTTCTCGCGCATCCACCGCGTTCTCGCGTGACTATATTCCCCTTTTCCCTTCCCCTTCAAACGCCAGCCTCGCAGGCTCACTTTTCCAATAAGGCAAGCGCTTTGTGCAAGTTGTCAATAGCAGTCTTTACATCTTCATATTGTAATGCACTAGCAGCAAAACGGCAGTATTTCTGAGCTTGTTCACTGTCTTGGGGAGACAAGGTGGACGTAGGTTGCGTGGGGGGAATGACTGAAGCTGCTGGAACAGGGGAAGGAACTACTGGCTGAGTGGGCTGCAACACAATAAAAGTAAAAAGGACGCAATGTCCATGTCAAGCAATATCCGCTGGTCTTGCTATCTTAAAGCGTGTAACTCACTGTGTAAGTCATTTTAATAAAATCCAACTAGTGGTCTATTATCAATGCGGCGTTCTGATTGGTTGAGCTACTACTAGGCTATATGTTATAGCCTACTAATAGCGAAAAGCGCTGGCTTTGGAAACCAAAACAATGGCGGCTGAATCGCGCTTTACTAGCTTAAGTTGTTTTGTCTCGATATTTTTGACCAACTGGTTGGATTTTACTAAAACAATTATTCCTTTCGCCCTCATGGCCTCTGAGTCAATAGCCCATGAGGCTGAAGGCCGAATGGGCTATTGACTCAGAGGCCATGAGGGCGAGAGGAATAATTGTTTTAGTAAAATCCAACCAGTTGGTCAAAAATATAGAGAATAAAAAAATTTTAGCTGCTTAAAGCTAGACTTTAATCCTTTTTTGCCGCCAAAAAGCCGGCGCTTTTCGCTACTAGTGGGCTATAACATATAGCCTAGTAGTAGCTCAACCAATCAGAATGCAGCATTGATAATAGACCATTAGTTGGACTTTACTAATTGTTAATATACCATTTGATACTAGAGTGAATATGTACAATGCACTGGTAATGCCTTATTATTACTGTAGTGCTTTATGGAGCAATATCAATAAGGGACCAGCAGACAAACTTCAAAGGATGAAGAACAGGGCTGCTAGAATTCTCACCTTTTCTAACCATGAGGTTCACTCAAGTGTTTTGTTGGATGAGCTTGGCTGGGAAAGGCTAGAATATGTAAGACTTAAACAGTTGGCTGTGACAATGTATAAAATCCATAATAATCTTTCCCCGTTGTATCTGAGATGGATCTTTACCAACACCTCAAACATACACTCACACAATCTTAGAAAATCGGCGTTAATTATTATGTCCCAGACCCAGAACTGAGTCTGCAAAAGGGAGCCTACACTACAGAGGATCTGTTCTGTGGAACAAGATTCCCTCAGAGATTAGAAACCTGCCTAGCTTAAAACCCCATTTACAGACGCTAAAAAAATCAGCACGGCACGCCAAATTTTCGACATGTAAACGTATCGGTCCCAAATGTAATGTGGCACCAGTGCTCAAAAATTTAGGGGTGCCGAGGCTACCTCCGGGGAAAACGAGGTATGGTGCCAAAAATTTGGCATGCCATGCCCATTTTTTAACGCGTGTAAATGGGGTTTAAATGTTTTTAAAACTTCATTTCATGGGAAAGATTACCTTAATGCACCATGACTCATTGTAACTCCTATTATTAATAATGTAAGTTTTTGTATTTTTAACTTCAGAGTCAAGTAGTTCCGTAGAGTATTTTAGTCTAATTTTACACACGATTCCTAGAAAGACCACGTAAAAATGATACAATTTTGTGTATAAATAAAGATCGATGATGATGATGATGATGATGATGATGATGATGATGATGAATGTCCATGTCCTGCCTGAATTGTGGTTGTGTCACCCAGATCTAAGTCCACTCACACTGACATACACATTTTTCTAACTAAAGTGTACATACAGACCCTTTTATTTGGTCAAGCACATGTTATAGTTCTCGGATAAAAGACTACAAGGAAGCCCTACAATCATGAGAGCTTGCAACAAAAATTTAATATTGGATCAAGTTAGGTTTCTGGAAAACTGCCTACCCACCCCTTCCCTAAGCCAACATTATCACTTACTTCTCACTTAGGGGAGGGGTAGGTGGGCAGTTTCCCAGAACCTAGATTGATCCCAAATATTTACCCAAACTAGCATGATTTACTGAATTCTATCTTGGTATTACCTGGCTTATACTAGGTTGAGCAGAAGGTGTTGGATATGGTGCAGTGGAGGGAAACTGACCAGGAAGGCCTGCTGTATTGCCAGTGGGGTAAGGTGGCTGTTGAGCATCTGTTGGATAGCTAGGGTACCCTTGGGGTTGCTGCGTACTGGACGGAGGATACGGGGAGGCCCCTTCCTCTTCTCTATCAAAGCTTTCAGCCTCGCCACCTACAGGCCCTGGAACGGGTGTCTCTCCAGTCTTCAGACACTTGTGTAAGTAAGCTGCTTTCCACTTGGCATATTTTTGATGGTGAGCTCCCTAAAGTAGGACAAGACAATCTCAATTCACTTCTTACACTGCGATTACTGTAACTGGGGCCACTTAGACAAAGTTGACCAATCTGATTATGGGAAAATAACAATACATTCCACGAAAGTTGGTTGTCGGCCAATCAGCAGCTCATAAAAAAAAAAAACAATAAGTCACTCGAGGCACAAAATTTAATATTGATAACAAACGCTTTTCAGGAAAGCAAAATGTTTCACCACACAATGTTTTTCTTTTTTGAAACTTTGCATACAACACCCAGGAGACATATTTCCTTGACACAAGCTGCTATTTTAATCATCTACCAGCAATCTCTCGCTTCTATTGCCACACTTTGCTAAACATGCGACCGCAAGTCAAAAGTATAACTACCACTTCTTACATTTTTCGCCTTCTGTCACTCACTCTTACGAACCTCTCAGGAAACACATTCTTTCTTCAGCAGGTTCAAAAGGTCACATCTGTAGGTTGTAATTGGTTGATTTCAATCCAGGTTGTTTATTTCATTTCATGGTAATTTTGATTGACAACTAACTTTCTTGGAATGTATTGTTATTTTTACCGTTATCCGATTGATCAACTTTGTCTAGGTGGCCCCGGTTATAGTAGTTGCACTGTAAAATACAGGTATAACAAAGAAACACATAATGGTCAATTTACTGAGTAAAACTTTGTCAATATTAAAGTTGTAATATGTTGCTTAAAAAATATGTTTACTTTAGAACAGTGATAGATACAGTTGTACAACACAGGGATGTCGCTAGGAGATGGCTGCTGCATTATTTACAAAGACATGGAGTAATTTTGAAGGCGCAGAAAAGTAAAAAAAGCCAGCTTGACTACTAAAAAACCTGCTTAGCTTTTCCTTAGCTAAATCCCTGACAATACGAACTAAACCTACATGTACTAAAAATACACCAATCATAGCCCGTTTAATAAAATGAAGTAAAATAAAATAAAGTGAAAAAAAATATATTTGTGCCAGGATTACAGGCAGTGAAACATAAAATGTATTTTTAAATAACAAAGTTGCAATGACTTTTTACTGAATCAACATCAAGGGCCTTAGCCAATCAATCTCCAGCCCTCAGTAACGTCACCACTTTTGGAGACCTAAATTCTATCGCAAACAGTTCACTTGATCCTAGAAACACAAAGCATCATACAGTTCCTCCTCCACAATGTGGATATGCGGTTCTGACCCTATGGTGTCTGTATTGAGGACGTTTGACTGCATTTGAATACCACTGGACACATAATACTTTTTTATCATGTTAGCTATAAATAGCTAACAACCATCAGGCATTCTCATGTGGCTCTCATGATAATTTCATAGCTTCCAACACAGACATAATTTGACCTTGGGTAGTAACGTCCACAAAGCAGTGCCGAGGTACATGTTCTGGGCCCCCAACAGACACAACAAATTACAGGAAGTGCTATCATTATTCCTTTCATCCTGATTGGCAAATTGACAATGGCTTTTTAAAAACGACCAATCATGGCACATACTCAAATCTTGGTACTCAGGTGGGGGCCTAAAACAAGGATTTCAGAGCTGTTTCGCAGATGGGTTTAACAAGAGTTTAATAGTTTTGTCTGTGGTACAGGCTGATGTTTCACTGACTGCACACTGCAGAAAAACGTTCCAGGCCCTTATCTCTTCACCCAGAATTTAAAGAATACATAAAATAGAATGTTCTTTCAAAGAGCCTAATATTATTAATACCTCCTGTGACAATTCACCAAACTGTGTCAAAACATCATAAAGCAGACTGGCTGTGTAAAATGACTTGACAACATTTCTGAAAGGATTAAGAAAAACATGATATTAAACAGTATTGAGAGACCTTTTAATAGATTCTAAGAAGAGGACGACTATGAGTAAGAGTTTTTCTTAATACTAAGTTTTGGGTGCAAAAGAACCAGCATTATTTTGGCAGGAAATGCAATATAATAATAAGTAATAATAATAGTAATAAAAAATATTTATATAGTGCCTACACTTTTCAGTGCTAAGTGCAATAGTCATCGTCATTCTAATACGAGTGTCAGCAAGAATGTTATAGTGGCTGAAACAAGACATCAAATGTTAGACATTTTATCGTTTTGTGATCGAGAGAGGGCTTAACCTCATTCAATATAATGTGATGCAATGAAATGTCATGGATTAGCGGACAACAAGACTCGCCCTCTTTACATTACACATTATTAAACTTGCCAACAGTAAGCTCAGATGTCAGCATACAAGATAACAACTCTATCTTTTCTGGTGAAAAAAAGTACAATGAAGCTTTCTGGGGTGTATTATATATTCACAGCTCCTGTTTTACCATCGAGCACTTTTATAGTCGATCAAGTCTTCAGTTTATCTGCTGCTAGTCATATTTTGAGAAATATATATACGCAAAAAAACTGCGAGTCAAATCTCATCCTCACAGTCATTCTTATCCTCGAATCTAAAGGTCTCTATTATAACATAGTCTGGCACAATGATCAGGGTTTGCAAATTTCATTGATGAGTGGAGTCAGTTTGACTTATGCTTCACAAATTTTGGAGTCATTTTGGAATATTTGGAGTCAAGTATCAGACTTTCCAGCACGTGGTCCTGGCATGTATACACTATTGTGAGGGATACACGAAGTAGCTGTGCCGTCCGCTGACCTGGAAAACTCAAATCCATGATGGCGGTCATCGAGTAAACTTTGATCGTAATTTACCCTCTTCCTGTTTTGTTGTGCAGTATAATTCTTTAATTTCGATGACTTAATTAAGGTTTACAACGTTTACAATTAACGTAAATTGTATTTGTTGCGAAAAAGGTAAGGACAAAACTGTGTTACCGAAAATTTCTGGAGTCGAAGTGGCTCCCTGTTTGTTACCAAAAATTTTTGGAGTCGAAGTGACTCCCTCCATAACTTCAGTGGAGTCATCTGAACAATTTTGGCGTAAAATACACCAAATTTGGCGTATTTACGAACCCTGATGATAAAAAGAAAAATAAGAGACTTGTTGTAGTCTGGTATACTGTTATTATTGAGTAGCATGCTTTAACATCCAAATGCTAGGTTCTTAATTGACAGAAAGCATGAATCCAAAGTACTTATTAAAGTTTGAAGCACGGTCCTCAGTATCAGCCCACAAGAAAAGCTGGAGTGCTTTTTCATCAATGTGAAGCTGGGCAACGTCTTCTTCACTGACAGCCTCATAACCCGCTGAGCCCAACTCCTTCTTTTTCTGCAAAAAATTATAGCAGATCAATTACAGTGTAAATATGAAGAAGATCATTTCAGTTATAGACACAACTTTTATTTAGAACCCATGAAAGAATGACAATGAAATAATGAATATATATACTGTACAGGGGTTTCAATAAGCACCGACGGCCAACAAAACGCTTCGCCTACTTTGCTTAGAGAAGTCAGCTACTTCTCTCTACAAAGTAAAGAAGAAGCAACTAGTTTGAATAACATTGTAGACAAGTAATATATCATAAAATCTGAATGAAAAGGTAATTATGAAGTGTTTTTGTATAGGCCCACTAGTTTTTCGTTATGCTTAAGTCATGTGAACGCTATATTTCAGTCATTTTTTCACAGTTTCTTTTATAGGTTTACACAGAATTTGTTCAGGTGCAAAAGTATGTTCATTATTTTGTTCATTTTCTTGTAGGAATTGACTGTGGGACATATAAATTGAAAGCTACATTTTTGAATGAAAAACACGCTCTTTTGTCCTCACATTTAGTCCCCAGAACGCTGAAAATCGCATTTTAGGGCTTGGAAATTTCAAACTTTTCCCTAGAAAAAGAGGACTAGTTCAAACAGTCCCTTGTTGATACACAGTTGGTTACTCTATTCAAACCTGCTGGCTACTTCAGTTTTTATTGAAACCCCTGACTGTATAAAAATAAAATGAAAAAAAATTAGTGTACTGGAGGACAAAGAAGTAAATGCAGAGCAGATTATTGCACTTAAAGACACAACTCTTGAAGTATGTTTCTAACCTGTTCTAACTGATCCATTAGCTGCAGTAAGAATGGTTTACTTTCTTTTCCTTTGCTATCAATTTTGATCCCTTTCTGCATTGCATAGAGACGACCTGCAGCAGGACATAAAATCTCTCGTCAACAGTTTTGTATTTTTTTATGTGCAGTGAAATCTTCCCTAACTTACTCTGTGTCTCGCAGTATGAAGCACAAACTGCCAACTTTCTTGATTTCACTGTCCAACAATTCTCACTTATCCATGGCAAAGAATAAAATAATCTGTCATGTTTTGCTGTAGCTACATTATTAATAAGTTTTGCTCAAAAAAATGCAGGAGTGCTTTTCAATGTGGCAGTATTTTGGGACGGCACTAATGTCAGATATACTACGGTTTATATCTTTTTATTACATTATCTACGTTTTGAGGAGAATCTGCAGCAAAAAAACAAATCCTGATACTGTGCCAAGAAATAGGGCAAAGTTTTGAAGAAAGTCTATGAAATATTTTGAATGAATAATAAATAGGTATTGAATTCAGCTTTTGCATGCTGGGAAGATTATCGGATTTCAGACGATACGATGCCAAGAATTATGCTGACCTCCAAGGCCTACATTCTTCTTGAACTGCATAATTCTTCACATCAGGCTCATTCAATAATTGTTAAATATCCTTCCTTTGCTTTACATGTATCTCTTTTTCTTCGCTCATGCTTATTTTAAGTCTCATTCTTAAATCAAGTTAATTAAAAGTAATCTGTATTTTATTTGTGACTGAATTTTTCAAGGTGATGAGGTCGCAAAATAGGTGTAATACTATTTACTACCATTATGACCATTCTATAATAAAATTTGTAAACTGGCATTCTTCGACCTATGTAACAAAATCTCACGACAAACTTTCCTCTCCTGGGATTTGGCAGGTCTGGAAGTGTCCAGAACTATGCAATAAAACACAACTCTTGGCAATGACTTTCATTCACAGGGAAATGTCATCGCTATAAAAAGCATGTATTGCTGAAATAAGCTTAATAAAATGTTACCTGTTTCTCCTTTAGCTTCCATCTTTGCTTTTACGCTTAATACCTCACAGCACCAAAAAAATATTTCAAGCTATACTTACAGTAATAAGCAACAACAGGATCGCGTTTGTCGTATTCTTGAGCGGTTTTCAGGTATGGAGAAATAGCTTTCAAACTCACTGGGACCGCCATGTTTTCCGTCTTGTGTTGATGTAAATCCGCTGCTCACAATCTGCAATCCGTGGACTCAGTTTCACGCACTGGCACTACGAGGGACATATTCAAGAAGACAGCTAATAGCACCGAAAAGGTAGAGCACGTGCCTTATTTGGTATTGCGGTCCAAAGTAACTATGGTAACATGCAAAAAAGCAAACAGATCTCGTCGCTTAGTATTTCTTGTATATGCTGCGAAGTTGTTCCATCAGATTGTTCCAAGTGTAATTCTGTTCAGGAGATCTTGAAGTTTTCTGCATCAACAATGTACATGAACGTGATGCAGCAAACGAAGGAATACCCAGTTTACAATACTCGTGGAAAGACAAAGGAAAAAGTAAGCTTGAGACCGATAAAAGATCATTCGAAGTGATTTCTGTGAGCTTTGCCAAGAGCTTATTCCTCTTCTTATTTTCCCAGGAAGAAAAGGATAAAAACGTCTGGGCCATTCAAGCTTCAGTCACTGCTGAACCTTTTACAACAAAGTCAAGATTAACAAATGCAGTGGTAAGGTTACTTTGTCCAAGTTATTGAATTATAAAATTCAAGGGAAAAGAATGGTGTAGGGTCAAATGTTACAGGCATTCAAGTTTCAGTAGGTTGCTAAGTTAAGATTTTTCTTTGCATTTTAAACGCAGGTTGTTCCTGCTCCTAGTGCCGGAGCTTTCAAATCAAGGCCATCAGAAAGAACAAGTTTCAGAAGATGCTATCTTCGAGGCGATTTTCCCATCGCGTTGGAGCACGACACGAAGGGAAACAAGATAGCATGGAAGGTAGAAATTGAGAGGCTCGATTACCATCATTACCTTCCGCTTTTCTTTGAAGGATTATCCGAAACAGCGCACCCTTGCGATTTCTTTGCTAGGCAAGGAGTGCACGATATGTTGGAGCACGGAGGTGGAAACAAGGTTCTTCCTGTTATTCCACAGCTCATTATTCCGGTCAAGAAAGCCCTTAATACGCGAAACCGCGTTGTGATTTGCACCACACTGAAAGCGTTGCAGCATCTTGTAGTCTCGGGCGATATGGTCGGCGAAGCACTTGTTCCTTACTACAGGCAAATCCTTCCGATCTTAAACATCTTCAAGAATTTTAATATCAATTCAGGAGACGGAATCGATTACAGCCAACAGAAAAGAGAAAATGTCGGTGACTTGATTCAAGAAACTCTCGAGGCGCTCGAACGACGTGGAGGTCCCGATGCATTCATCAACATCAAGTATATGGTCCCAACTTACGAATCCTGTATGCTAAATTAACTTTAGAGAAAATCGTCAACTTACATGCTATGCATTTGTATTTTATCTGGTATGGTCCATAAGAGTTAAAATTCGGTTTCAGAAAAATGTCACTGGCTGTGTATAAATTATTTTTTGTCTTACAGCATTATCTTTGTTTAAGCAAGGCTTTCTCCTTGTGTTCACAGTACGTTAACCGAGACTCACGTGGCATTGAAAATTTAGCTATAAACATGATTCTTCAGATAAACCCAACTATAATTTTCAAACGTTCATTGTACATACGAGTAGTTTAAATATCAATATTTGATCCATATGTAGTTCAGAAAGAGCTCAGCATGTATTGTTGCTTGTTTATGGAGAAAGTAAAGTTTATCTGAGTTCCCTTTATTTCTTTGTGGTGTAATTTTCTCCCCTATTTTATGTCAAAACCATGCAGCAGTTTAGTCATCAACATTAAGGAGCTACCAGATCATTTTTTCTGGGTGATTTGAATGGGAAAGAGCACATGCAGAAGAAGAGTAAAATCCACTAAAGTGATGCATCCCAGGGTTCTCTCCTACCCGCCCTACAGAGCGAGAGAGAGAGAGCAGAGGGTTTACTGAAAGTCTCCCAGCGTGTCACGCAATGCTCCTTCCCACGAAGTCAGGAAGGAATGTCGCATGGCAAGACAAAAACAGCTGTAAGGGAGACTAGTGTAGTAATAGGACAAAATCATTTTGGTGGGATCATTGAAGTTAATGTAAGGGACACCCAATGACTATTTTCTGTAAAATATCTGTTCTGGGAAGCAAATATTACCTAGCATTTTCTATTACTTGAGGACGGCTAAAAATTTTCTACATGACCATTCCATTTATGTACAATTTTCGAAGCTTATCTAATAAATTCCCTACGATTTTCTGAAGTTTAATTTTTCATATTTCACTCCCCAGGTTAGTCTTTTTTTCGTAGAAAGAGGAAACCTAAAATTTTCAACTTAAAAAAATGTGATGGAGAGAGAAATAAAAAAAATTCTCACCTTCGTATTATATGTTACATTATTGCATCTAAAATTTTTGGGCAAATTATAATGTAATTTTTCGAAAAGTTCCCCTAAAATGGCCTAACAGATGCAAATTTTATAGTGATTCTAAGAATGTATTTTCTAGAGATCTAAGAGTAACTCTGGATGGCCAAAAAAGGGTTTACAGTGTATTTAGGAGGAAACCGTTGTTGGGTGCCCCTGTGGCTTGCCAGGTACTGTGGCTATAACTCTCACTAATGGTAAACAGTGTTAAGATTGCCTATTAAAAGTATGAAACCAAGTGACTACAGTCTATTAGTCTGCTACACAGCTGTTCTTTCTTGGAAGGAGAGTTGCATGTGGACACAAACAATCAATGGCCTGGCACCAGGTTCCTTGAAGCAATTGGGAAAAGATGAAAAAATTGGCATGTAAAGCCCTACACTCATCAATCAGCCGAACATCAAGGCAACTGAATGTTTCATGGTAAATAAAGGGGAAAAGTGAAGTTTTGTCTAGATTTCTTTTGAATTTGAGTCCATTCACGGAGATATAGCAGTTTACACTCTAACAAAAAATTTGTAAAATCGGGACAGGGATTATAGACTTCGGGCAAGCTGCAAGGAACTCGTTATTTAGCCTTGTACCCTGAAGAAGGCACCCCAGTATCCCGGGGGGGGAGGGATTCCGTATATGAAAGGGGTGGGGATGCTCGTTGTCTCGCTTAGGGGTGTAAATTTCGGATTTTGGTCTCGCTTTGGGAGTTCTTGGCAAAACACTATTATATTTAGCCGTAAAGGTCTCTTTTAGGGTTGCACTCAAAGAAATATTAAAAAATTATATTTTTTCAATTCGTCCTATTTACTCGATTCATGTAATCAAAGTTTAAAATGATCGCTTTTAGGGGTCAAAAAAGGTTGTGCCACGCCCAGATTGGTCTCCTTTAGGGGTTTGATTCAAAATTTCCGACGAGCATCCCCACCCCTTTCATATGCGGAGTCCCCCCCCGGGCCCAGTATTTGCCCCCCCAAATTTTACATAACCTTTGTTTTTCATTTCCGATTCTTTTCTCTTATGTGTTCTAGCCGTCTCAAGAGAAATTGAAAACAATGCTTATGCAAAATTTTTGGGGGGGCAAATAAGGCGCATCATGGGAGATGTCCAAGGGGGGTATTGCCGAAACGTCGGTTAAGACTCTTTTGAACAGCGTCGATTTTACCCGGGGCAATTTTCAAATTAACATTAAGTAACTATGCTGCGCAGGATTTCAATCTTTATTGCTCAAACAGCCTCATGAAGATATATCCACCCTTCTGAACCAGAAAACGGGGCCAGGGCTGGTTTGTTAAAAGCTGGATTAAGATAACCCAGGGTTAGTGAGAAAATTAAAATCAGATATGAAAGCTTAAAAAGTAATTCACTCGTCAAATTTTTTCATGTACAAATTGTTCACTGGATGCTCTACAAAGAATTCGAGAAAACTCTCCCACAAAATGCGTCTAAGCAAGAGGAATAGAAGTCCGGATTAGAATTTAACCCAGACTTAGCGCTAATCTGTCTTTGAATATTATAAACTGGGCCCAAAAATCGGTTAATACAAGCCATCGGGGAGAAAGGAGTCAGGCTTGGGCGCCTCGTATTTGTCAAGTACGTACTGACAAGGCTGGTATGTCTCTTATACGTTTTGCATGAATTACAAGCTTCTTCCGCCAAAATCAAATCGATGATTTTTCCTATCAGCTGAAGGTAACGTTTGTGCACAATCACAATACACATTTTCCACTTACAAAAGCAAGCTACTGAGATGCGACGCAGAACTTAATTTTATTATCTACTGGGCTGCTGGTGCTGTTAATTTAACGGCAAACGCGATTGCTGGAGATTGCTGAAAAACAAGTCGAGGTAGTTTCATGTCTTTCACTTGACAGTACGTGTATCGACAGCTTCCTCTTTGATGTACATTACCTGCTTAAAGTTGCTGACTCTACCGCCAGGTAGATGCAGAAATACCGATAGCTGTCCCTTTAAAATGTCTATAGACATGAGATTTTATTTGAGACCAGAAGCTGAGTCGGCCCCGGTCTTCTCAGGCTGTTGGTTAATAACATTCAGCATCGTTAGGCTTAATTTAATTTTCTTAGTTTCCCGTTTCCAACTCAGTTAATCGCATTTTCCCCACCACACATCAAAGCCTAAGAACTAAAAAAAAATGCAGTATAAAATATAGAGTAAAATAAAAGACAGCACTTCGAACTGAAAAGATTGGTGCGCACTTTTTTCTCATACTCGCTGTATTATAAATCCTGATGAACTTGTCTTTCTCTTTTGTTTAACTTGCTTGAGTTCCTTAAATATCTAACTTTTACAAAGCTAAAGGGTTCCTTTTTTCTCCAAAGGGATATCAATGGAAGAATATTACTTACCACTTTACGTCTATTTAAAGTCTCTTAGGAAAACAAGACTCCTTTTTATATTTTTTACAGGTTTAAGATGATGACTATACTACAACTGCTTATACCTTGTATATTATATGCCACAGTGAACTGCCAAATATTGAGTAAGTAGCACCAATACTTCTCTTTCGTTTCAACCGCCATGAAAATGTTTCCATCCCTTTCACAAGAAAATGTATTAAAAGTTTACTTCATCAGAGCACATCACACCATTATTTTGTTTCCCATAAATTTTGGTCGACATTTGATCAAGGGATCTTTTTAAAACATGCTTTTTTTC